GACATCGTCCAGGTGTCTGCACCATACAACAGGGTCGGGGGGACATCGTCCAGGTGTCTGTACCATACAACAGTGTCGGGGGGACATCGTCCAGGTGTCTGCACCATACAACAGTGTCGGGGGGACATAGTCCAGGTGTCTGCACCATACAACAGTGTCGGGGGGACATCGGCCACGTGTGTGCACCATACAACAGGGTCGGGGGGACATCGGCCAGACATCGGCAATCATGGTTCTCCTTTCATTCATTTGCTTGGATGCTCTCAACAAAAAGCTTCACATTGTCTTCATCTTTCCCCGTCACCCATCTGTTTCTGTATTTGTACCAGTACTTTAGTATAATTATCTTTACGACAATATTTCCAACCCTTTATATATACCCCAGCCATTGAGAGCTACTATTAGGCCAGTAGATCTAGACTAGATCTAGATGTTCAAGCCTTGAATCAAGGCCCTTAATCTTAGCCTGTGTCCATTCAAGTGTCCCAGAAAAACTGTTTGTCTTTTCCCGATTGTTTCAATCAGCGAGCGTCCTTCGTGGGTTTCTCAAGTACTACCTCATTTGACTTCTTTTTCTTCTAAGACATTCTCAGCAGTCTGCTAAGAAACCACATCATATGACACAATTATTGTTTTGTGGTTGAAAAACGGTTAGGCCTACCGTGAAGCAATTGATGTTTTGAATGATCCACCAAGGGAAACTACTCTCTCGTACTCTCGTCTGTCTGTTGTCTTCTTGCATCCTCAGCTCTTCCTGTCCTGTGTTTGCCCAACTCTCGTCTGGGTCGACACTTGGTTTCTCACAGCTCGATTTGGTTCTTTCCACCATTGCGTTCTTTACAGCCGCTTGCTGTCCCTAGTTTTGGAATTTGGTGGAAGTATTCTCAAGGGAATCCCCTCCCGAAAACAGTAAAATGAGCTACCAGCTTTACAGGAATACAACGTTAGGTCATACGTTGCAAGAAAGCTTAGATGAGCTGATTCAGGTAAGTTTATTTAGCCTACATCTCTCGAGTCTAGAGTTAGATCTACCGTAGCGGAATAGTAAGTTACTTTTAATACTTTTATAGAAGTTTTAAGTCACTAGATCTAGATATCTAACTCTTGAACAGTCCCCCCTCACCTCTCTCCTGTTAAGTGTTAAGGCCACCTCTAAAAATATGCCCCCCCCCCCAATTGTTTTATCGTATTTCTGTTGTTGTTGTCGTTGTTGCTGTTGTTGTTGTCGTCATCTTCCCAAGTTATTGTCCTCTCATGGTGTGCCGGCGTCTGTGGTGTAGCGGTTAAGCGCTTCACCGTCGAACGCAGAAGTCAAGAGTTCGATTGCCAAGAGTGAACTTTTAAAATGCACCCCCATCTTTCTGCTTGGACATTTAGGTCCCTCTCAGGATCGAAGCAGCTTGTCTTCAAAACCATTACATATTTTTTCTTTGGGTGTAAAATTTCTGCAATTACATTGTTTCCCCCTGCTTTTAGTTATTGTTAATGCTTTTCTTTTTCTTTCAGTCCCTTTCTTTAGTTTTGTTTTTGTATGTTTCTGTCTGTAGATATTGTTTACATCCAGTGTCTTGTTTTGCTTTCAGCATTTTTTCTCTCTTTTTTATACTCATCTTATTTATTTTTAAAAAAATTTTCGAGTGGCTGAAGGGAGCCACAGGAAGACCGGTCCTAAATCGTTTTTGTCTGTCTGTCTATCTGTATCTCTCTCTCTCTCTCTCTCTCTCTCTCTCT